TCGACCTCACCAGTTATGTGACATCCGGCTCTTCCGTGTATTTTCTCGTCCGTGCCCCTGTTTTTTGGCTGTCCCAGTTTGTCAGCTAACATGGTTGCTTTACTAAGCCAAAAAGATTCACCGAAGGGGAGAAATAAAAATAAACCTTTTTGGATAGAAACAAATCCAGTGACCACAGAGCAGGTCCCTTCCCCGCTGCAGGCTGCCTTGTCCCTGCGTGTCACCAGGCTGCTCCGTCCCTGGGTGCCACTGGGCTGCTTCCGACACGGTGCCAGGGCGGCAGCAAAGCAGCTGCCATCACTTTGCTGTGCCCATAAACATTAATTTGAGAAAACTGAGGTGGCACCGAATAGCAGCGCCACGTGCACAGCTGGTACCTGTGGATGCAGCCCCTGGTGACAGTGATGACCGTGTCCCCGGGCAGCGGGTCCCTGGACCTGTCCCGCTGTGGGTGGCCATGGCTCCTGGTGCTGGCTACCAAGTTCAGCCTCCCGACCCGCAAAGACAATAGCGCTGTCAGTGCGTGGATTGGAAACGCTGATCGGGGGGTTGGTGCCTGCTGGGTGTCGGCAGCAGGGGGACAGTTCAGGTTTGCAGCTGGGAGCTGTGTCACCAGCAGCCACCACCGCGGGGGTCCCTCCACTGAGGCGTGAGAGTTTGACACCAGAGCTCATCGTTCCAGCCACACGTCAGTTTTCTCACATAAATCACCAAGTACAAAATCCCCCGAGGGGCTCGGTAACGAGTCCCTGGCTGACAGCAGGGTCACTGCTGGCCTGGCCCAGTGGCGACGGGGAGGGTGCCTGGGTCGGTGGCGACGGGGAGGTGGCCTGCGCTGAGCCCCATGGACCCTCCATGGGGTCTGAACAGCCACGGCCAGGATCCGGCCATGCTCAGAGCCAAGGATCCAGCAAGGAGGTTTTAATTGCTGCTCTTTTTTCTGCAGCCGAGAGAAAGCAAAGGGAACTGCGGGACCCAAATGTCCCACCTACGTGGCACGGGGCGCTGGGGGCTCAGGCCAGCGTCCCCCCCGAGTGCCGTGCCCAGAGCTGCCCCAGGCAGCAGGAGATGCTTGTGGCCCCTCACAGCCCCTCGCTCCTTATCAAAGCAATTGAAAACCGAACACAGCAGTGGTTTTCGAGTGGAGAATCTCATGAGAATGGCCGCGTTGTCTGAGTCACCCCCAGCTCCTTCCAGCTCTAAAAATCCAGTGATGCCACAGAGTTGGAAACATTTTCATGTTAAAAATACACGCTTTGGAATAATCAAAAACACAAACGTTACATAAGGCTAAATTTAATTGCGTTTCAGTTTACTGCTGCATCTGAAATAGCTGTTTTTCCAATAGCTCTCTTGATTCCCAACTTTACAGTCCCCCTGACACACGAGGTCTGGCAAAATGTCAAGTCCAGGCCAACCTTCAACTGATGGAGCTGCGGCCGCTCGTGAACTCTGGTGCACAGATGCAGCCCATGGCAGGCATTGCGAGCTAGAAAGCGCGGATATTTTATCTGGCTGCTTTTGCATGGGAAATTCTCTTTATCCCAGAATTTTTTCCTAGTCCTCACCCCCTGCACTCAGTCTGCACAAAGCCCAACTTTGGTATATTCCCTAAAAATACAGAATGTGCAGCGCCGTGCACGCACCTCCCTGGCAAAGGCGTGTTAGGGCTCCAGTGACAAGCTGCGGATGCCATGGGCTGTCGTCATGGTCCCAAACACTAATTAAAATGCTTTGTGTTAATGGGGTCACTGATTAGCTGTGCCGTACTGCAGGGCTACGCATCTTTCTTAAGACGCGGGTAAAATGCCGTTACACTCTTGGGTGATGTCGCTCCACCAGGTCCATCGTCTGACTGCTGTGTCATTGTTTCATGGACCCAACGATCACCCCAAAGGTACGGCTGGATCCGTAAATACGCTCAGAGGTGTTTCTCTGATTCCACCGGTGTGCTAAAACTCCCCCCCAGCCTGCACAAGCCATTCCAAACAGCCTCCTGTAAGTTCCCATGAATTAGATTTTGTAAAAAAATATGTCTAAAAAACCCCTTTTCTCAGGCAGATCCTCTGTTTTTGATCACAAAAACCAACGGAGGGATGTGGAAGGCTGGACCCAGCCCCTCCAGCTCCCTTTGGTCCCGCAGCCCCCGGGTGCCCCCCGGAACGAAGCCCATGGCCCCGGAGGCTTTAAGGGGTTTGAATTATTCGTGGTAAAAACAACCTGCTGCCGTTCCAACCCTGGTCCGTGCCCAGCCGCTGTAAATGGGCTTTTTTCTGTAATTTTCAGTAATTTGTGTTACGGAGTGCACTGTCCGCGGCAGCAAAAGCGCGGTGCAGCAGCTGTCACCCCTGGCCATGGCACTGCCAGCCGCCGACACACGGATCCCAGGA